GGTTTTGGGCGGGGGGCTTGGACTTCCGGCGGGCATGCGTGAGCGTGTTTGATAGAAGTGAATGGAGCAAATGGTTTTTTTATAATTTGACGTGCTGTTGGAGTGTGAGCAAAGTAACATTTATGAAAGGGTTCAGGGAAACCGGCAGCCGTACTTGAGTCCTGGAGATGGGAAGTACAGTGCCTGCACTCTGAAGGAGGGGTGTTAATGTTGCAGTTTAAAAACTGTAGTGTAAAGCACTCTTCTGGCAAGACAGTGATGGAGTAATGATGGTGAAAGTTTTTCTTTTTCGGGCCACCCTGCCTTGGTGGGAATCGGCCAGTGTGATAATATATATATATATATATATATATATGTGTGTGTGTGTGTGTGTGTGTGTGTGTGTGTGTGTGTGTGTGTGTGTGTGTGTGTGTGTGTGTGTGTGTGTGAAAGGAATTTGCAAGAAACAGGCGAAATAATTTTCGCCTGCTCTTGTGAATTCCTTGCATTGTTAAAATCTCTAGTAAGGCTGATGCATGCAGGGGATGAGATGAAAATCTGTAAGCCTCCTCCCTGAAAGCTGGCTGCCTTGGATCACGTCTAGCATGAGCTGGACGCGAAGGTATTGGTCAGTGTGGTGAGAATGGTAAAGCACTGTAGGTTTGTAGGCTCGAGTCTCCTTCGGCCAGAGATCAATGTTTATATATATATATTATATATATATATATATATATATATATATATATATATATATATATATTATATATATATATATTTATATATATATATAACATATATATATTATATATATATATGTTGTGCCGAATATGTAAAACTGGTCAATTAGCAAGAACTCATTTAAATTAAGTCCTTTCTAAATTTTTCTTATACGTTTAAAGGTATATTTTATTTCATAATGTTAATGTAAAAATTTTTAATTTTGCTCAAAAGAATCTTAGAAAACTTACCTAACGTTATTATAACAAGAACAATTTATTTTAGCCTATCCCAACTAAATATATTTTAGATTTGTTTACAATAATTTAATACTAAACAACACAGTGAAATATATTTTTTTCCTTAGGTTCAGAATGATTTTAGCGAAATTATTGCATACACAAATTTTCACTTGTCCTTATATGGCAAGATGAGCGTTGCTATTTAAGCCAAGATCGCAAGTTCTGCCTATTCGCACGACATATATATATATATATATATATATATATATATATATATATTATATATATATATATAATATAATATATATATATATATATATATTTATATATATTATATAGAAATAATTCTAGTATCAATTATATCGTCTTAAGAATACTTTCTAGTTCTAGGTTTTGTAATGTTTTTTTTTACAGATCTCTACGCCAGTGAGTCTGCAAAATCAGAACTTCTGAACAACGTCGACAAGATCTGTCCAGCGACACTTTACTTAGAACATGAGACTAAACCTGTGGAACTTGCCACCAAGATCTATGGCCAGTATGTTGGAGGTGTTCGAGTTAACTTGGAAGATGCAGACATTATCTGTCAGGTAAGAGTTAATTTTAATTATTGCTTGCAATTACCCATCTAGTTTTTTCATTTGTCACAGGTAAGATTTTTTTATATATATTTTACATTTTTATTTTTGTTTAATATTTATTTCCTAAAATAAAAGATTTTGCATCCCTCACTGCTTTAAAAAAAATAATATGACTAAAAATTATGGCAATTTATTTAACTTTGTATTCATAAACATTTGCCATACAACATATAAAATATATAATTTGAGGTATAATGTATCTGAAATTCAAATCTTTGCAATCAGATCATTATTTTTGTACATGATTCATTCTTGAAAGAACGTAGGGGATAGCATTGCTCCCTAAAGTGTGATGTCTTCTTACCCAATCAGATGTTTGGTGATCGCCTCTTTAATGTGCCTCACGACAGAGCAGCTATTCTACATGCTAAAAATGTTGGACCTCAGAAGAAAACGTTTTTATATGAGCTAAACCACAGAGGTCAACGATCATTGGGAAGTCGTTATAACACCGATGTTGGTCGTCACTGTGAGTTGTAAAGCCTCCTTAATATATGTAGACATTTCCATATAAGAATAATAATAATAATAATTATTAGTATTATTATTATTATTGTATGGAAATGACTACAAATAATAATAATAATAATAATAATAATAATAATAATAATAATTATTATTATTATTATTATTATTATTATAAAATTAATAATTATCTTACAATTATTTGTATTATTATTGACATGGGAAAGCACTAAGCCCGTAGAGTCGTGCAACCCCTAGGAATGAGATTTTTTTAAGATTTGATCGTGTTCGCATCGCTATTGGGTCGTGTTCGCATCGCTATTGTGCCGTGCAGACGTGCTTCGCAGTAGCTCTTGATTGAGTTGGCTTTTGTGCAGTGGTAACGTGTACTTAGCTCTGTGAAGACCTGTTTGCGCGCTCTCTACGAATTGAAGCAAGATGCCCTCCATCGGGCAACTTTACCAACAGCTTAAGGAAGAATTGAGGATGGCGGAGATGGAGATTCGGAGACTGACCGAGGAAAACAAGAAGATTCGTAGTAGTCCTCCTGTTTTGAGTCCTCAGGTCAAGAAGGGAAACTGGTCAGTAGCTGGACAGCAGGGAACGAAGTTGACGATCAAGAAGACGAATGGAAAGGTAGAAACGATGAAGAAGAAAGAGACTGCCGTGGAAACTGTTGTGGAAACATCTAATACATTCTCAGTGCTACCCGACGAATGTGAGTCGACTACTGGGAACATCACGACGAACGACACCAAGGAAGGTAAGAATATTGTTGTTGTTGGGGATAGCCAAGTTAGGTATATGGGTATGCTTGAAGGACAGGAGTAGGAGACAGAGAGTTTGCTTTCCTGGGGCTGTGATGGAGGATATTGTTAGCCGTCTGGATGACATCATGAGAGGTAATGGGAGCAATCCTATTATCTGTCTCAGTGCTGGAGGTAACGATGTTGGCAGACGTAGGAGTGAAGACCTGATTAGCAGGTATAGGTCAGCAATAGAAATAATTAGGAGTAAGTGGGGGAACCCTGTCATATGTGATATTTTTCCAAGGAGAGGAGTTGGAAATGAATGGTTGTCCAGGGCAATTGGTGTCAATTGCTGGCTGGACAAATACTGTAAGGAAAATGTGGTAACATTCATTGACAACTGGGACCTCTTCTATGGCAGAAATGACATGTATGCCAGGGATGGGGCTCACTTATCTAGGTCTGGGGTGGTAGCACTGGCAACTGCAGTGGAGGGAGCAGTTAGGACTTTAAACTAGGAATAGTTAGTGGTATGGGTTTTGGCAGGAAAACAGTGAAGTTCCAGTGTAGTAATATTACGAGTTCTAGGGGAACTAGTAATAAGCAGAACGAGGTAGATATTGAAAAGCCAGAGACTTTGGGTGATAAGGACAGTAATAGGATTAGTAGAAAAACAGAAATGAGCAGGAAGGGTAAAGAGAAAGGAGAGTCTTTCAATGTTTATTATGCTAATTGCCATAGTGCTAGGAATAAGATGGACGAGTTGAGATTAGTTGCTAGTGCAGGTAACATTGATGTATTTGCCTTAACTGAGACGTGGTTTAATTCAAAAAGTCGGGACATGCCTGCAGAATGTCATATTCAGGGTTTTAAATTGTTCCAAGTAGACAGAAGTATCGGGAAGGTGGGTGGGGTGGCATTGTATGTCCGAGATCGCTTGAACTGTTGCATAAAAATTAGTATTAAGTCTGAAGTAACACATACAGAGTCTGTTTGGATAGAATTTTCAGAAGGGCATGGAAAACTGATTTTAGGAGTGATATACCGTCCCCCAAACTTAGATAGGGACCAAGGGAGACTACTATGGGAGGAAATTGTTAGGGCCACTAGGCACGATAATGTAGTAATTCTAGGAGACTTTAACTTTAGTCATATTGATTGGAATTTCTTGACTGGGATTTAAGAATCATACGACTTCTTAGAAGTAGTTCAGGATTGTTTTTTGAAGCAGTTTGTGACAGAACCTAGAAGGGGAAATAACCTGCTTGACTTAGTTATGGCAAACAATGAATCCCTTGTTAATAATTTAGAAATTTCAGAGGAACTGGGTGCTAGCGACCACAAATCAACTACATTTAGCATTGAATGGAAGTACGATAGTAGCGATAACTCAGTAACAGTCCCAGATTTTCGCTTAGCAGATTACGATGGGCTTAGAGAACACTTATCGTCTGTTGACTGGGGTAACGAAGTGAGCTATCAATATGACAGTTTTCTGAACACTATACATGCTGTTCAAAGAACGTTTATCCCATATAAAGAAATTAGATCAAATAGGAATGACCCAAAATGGATGAATAATAGGCTCAAATATCTACTAGGGCATAAGAAAGCAATTTATAGGCGTATCAAAAGAGGTGAGGGTCATCTTTTGAATCAGTATATTGACATTAAGAGGGACCTTAAAAACGGGATAAGAAAAGCTAAAAGGGACTATGAAATTAAAGTTGCTAGGGATTCTAAAACTAACCCAAAAAGTTTTTTCCAGGTCTATAGAACAAAAGTTAGAGATAAGATAGGTCCCCTTAAAAATAACTATGGGCACCTTACTGACAAAGAGAATGAAATGTGCTCGATTTTTAATAATTATTTTCTCTCAGTTTTTACACAGGACGACACTAACAATATTCCAGTAATTAATTTTTATAGTGGACTAGAAGAAAACAAATTATGTAACATCACAGTCACTAGTGAAATGGTTGTGAAGCAGATAGACTGAAGCAAAATAAGTCGCCGGGTCCTGATGAGGTTTTTTCAAGGGTTCTTAAGGAATGCAAAATGGAACTCTATGAACCATTAACTAATATTTTTAATTTATCTCTTCAAACAGGTGTACTGTCTGATATGTGGAAGATGGCTAATGTAATTCCTATTTTTAAAACAGGGGACAAGTCGTTACCGTCAAATTACCGCCCAATAAGCCTGACCTCAATTGTAGGCAAATTACTAGAGTCAATTATAGCTGAGATTACAAGAAGCCATCTCGATAAGCATAGCTTAAATAATGATACTCAGCATGGATTCACACAAGGCCGGTCTTGTCTAACTAATTTATTAACTTTCTTCAGTAAAGCTTTTGAGGCTGTTGACCACGATAAAGAATTTGATATTATTTACTTAGATTTTAGTAAGGCTTCTGATATAGTTCCGCACCATAGACTGTTAAAGAAAGTGGCAGCTCATGGCATTGGGGGAAGAGTGCTCTCGTGGATCGAGTCATGGCTCACTGACAGGAAGCAGAGAGTGTCCATAAATGGGGTTAAATCCGAGTGGGGTCTGTAACAAGTGGCGTTCCACAGGGATCAGTCTTGGGCCCGTTGTTGTTTATAATATATATCAATGATCTTGATGAAGGAATTACTAGTGATATGAGCAAATTCGCTGATGACACAAAGATAGGTAGGATAATTGATTCAAACGTAGATGTTATGGAACTTCAGGAGGATTTAAACAAACTCTATTCTTGGTCAGAAAAGTGGCAGATGCAGTTCATTGTAGATAAATGCAAGGTTCTGAAGCTTGGGAGTGCCCATAACCCTAGTACTTATAAGTTAAATGATGTAGAACTTAGCCATACAGATTGCGAAAAGGACTTGGGGGTTATGGTGAGCAGCAACCTTAAACCAAGACAGCAATGCCTAAGCATATGTAGTAAGGCAAATAGATTACTGGGATTTATATCAAGAAGTGTAAGCAACAGAAGTCCAGAGGTCATACTGCAGCTTTATACATCATTAGTAAGGCCTCACATAGATTATGCAGCTCAGTTCTGGTCTCCATATTACAGAATGGACATAAATTCGTTAGAAAACATTCAGCGTAGGATGACTAAATTAATACATAGCATTAGAAATCTTCCTTATGAAGAAAGATTGAAGACTCTTAAGTTACATTCACTTGTTAGACGAAGAATGAGGGGAGATCTGATCGAAGTGTATAAGTGGAAGATATGTATTAATAAAGGGGATATTAATAAGGTCTTGAGGATGTCTCTCCAAGAGAGAACCCGCAGTAATGGATTTAAATTAGATAAGTTTAGATTTATAAAGGACATAGGAAAGTATTGGTTTGGAAATAGGGTAGTTGATGAGTGGAACAGTCTACCTAGTTGGTTTATTGAGGCTGGGACTTTGGGTAGTTTCAAATTTAGGATGGATAAGTACATGAGTGGGAGGGGTTGGATTTGAGTGGGACTTGCACATCAGAGCTTATTTCTTGGGTGGCATTGAAAATTGGGTGGGCAAATGTTTTGTTAGTGGGGATGAATTGTAAAGGACCTGCCTAGTATGGGCCAGCAGGCCTCCTGCAGTGTTCCTCCTTTCTTATGTTCTTATGTTATCTATGGGCAATTTTTTGGGGGAAGCGCTAGACCCGTAGAGTCCAACAAAAACTTGCTTCAAGAAAGTGGAAAGTAACTCCAGTTCCTTCACTAACAATAATTCGCTCCCCATCAGTGTATTCTGGTGAAGGTTAAAGTTGGAAAAATTCAGATTCAGAAAGGATATAGTAAAGCACTGTTTGGTAATAGAGTTGTAGATGAGTGGAACAAGCTCCTGAGTACAGTTATTCAGGCTAAAACGTTGTGTAGTTTTAAAAATAGGTTAGATAAATACATGAGTGGGTGTGGGTGGGTGTGAGTTGGACCTGACTAGCTTGTGCTGCTGGGACTGGTGCAGTGTTCCATCCTTGAGGGAGATGATCAGACTGGGTGGGTCATTGGGCTAATCTGGGGGTGGGGGGTCATTGGTCTAATCCGTGGGGGGACATGGACCTGCTCCACATGGGTCAGTAGGCCTGTTGCAGTGTTCCTTCTTTCTTATGTTCTTATGTTCTTATAATTATTTTTATTATCAAAAAAATAATAATAATAATAATAATAATAATAATAATAATAATATTATTATATAATTATACTTACTATATAATTTGCATTAGTGTATATAATAATAATAATAATAATAATAATAATAATAATAATAATAATAATAATAATAATAATAATATTATAATAATACTATTATAATTGATTATAGTAATATATAATAATATATATAATAATAATATAATAATAATAATAATAATTAATAATAATTAAAATTATTATTATTATTATTATTATTATTATTATTATTATTATTATTATATTATTAATTATTATAAAAGTGCACTAAACCCATATGGATGTTGTGGTGTACAGGGGTGACTCACGGGGATGATCTCTTCTACCTGTTTACTGGTGAGAACACTGAGTGGAAGCCACTGGAGAGGCCAGAGGACCTCACACTGAGACACATCATGCTCAAACTCTGGACCAATTTTGCAGCTACTGGGTAATGTGGTTATGTGGACAACAATTACTTACTATTAAATTCATGGTGAAATGCTCAACCCTCAAGGGTCATAGACCGTGGTGGGGTGGGCTAATAACTTTTAACTAATAACTCTTAGCAAGGGTAGGGTAGCTACAGTCACGTATATGAAGAGTCTTTTACTTGTATTTTTGCTCTACCCTAAAGATCTTTTTATTCTTAACTGTAAATTCTTTTAGGAAATTGATTAAATTAACTGTTTTATATGATCAAAATTCTTTTCATTCTGAATGAAGGGAAAGTAGCTCTAACTCCTTGGAAGAAATGTTCTTTACCAGTATAACCCAATGAAGGGCGATAGTTTCATGGCATATCTAATGTATGTTTCACCCAGATCACAAATCCTAATTTTATGACAGGAATCCAACACCTGATGACTCTCTAAATATAGTGTGGGAAGCTGCACGTCCAGACAACCTCCATCACTTGTCTCTCACACCGACCCCCACCATGAAGGCAGACTATAGGCACAAGGTAATCTGTTGTACTTTCTCCCATTTTCTCCCATTTTCTTCGTGTAGAAACTATAAGTAAAATCATCGGTGTATTGAAATGGAAGGACTGCCACCAAATATGATAAGAAAACAAAGCGTGGAAGACACCTGTATTTACTGACAACCTAAACTTATGTGACGAACTAATTTTACATGATGAAATTAAGTTAATTTTATTTCTATAAATAATGACTTACAGTTGGTACAGAAAACGTGATATTACTGACGTACTTTATACAAAGCCCCAGGTTATGCAGAGCTTTTATTTAACTCATAATTTGGGAATGAACAATCTGTTTGACTTTTTAATAGGAGAATTGGTTATAATCATTTATGGAGATTATTGTTGTTGCTTTATTACAAATGAAAGCATTAATCTAAATTTCAGTGTTACTGCACAGTATATACAATAACTTAAAGGGACAATGAATGCACAACATCTCTGACGAAACTTAGCCTTTATTATACCTAAAATTTATTTATTTATTTATTTAGAAATTTAGCATACAAACAGAGGTACAAAAAATACAGGTAAGAGCAGCATGCCAAAGCCACTTATATGCATAGCATTACGGGCTGGCTTAAAATTAACTTAAGATTAACTAAGCAATGATGAAATCAGTGATAAGACATTATTGTAAACAGAAAACTATAAAGTACAAATGGGTATTACAAAGACAGGTCATATGCTTGCATGCATTGCATGCATAGAATGGAGTATTCTGTTAGGTAGTGTATTTACAAAAAATAACAAAGTTAGGTTTAACATTTGTGTGATATAATGTGAGTAACATTTAGGATACACAATTTATATGGTTCAGTTATTCAGTATTTATTTGGTTTTGGGTGAGTAAGTGAACTTTGAGAAGAGACTTGAATTTATAAACAGGTAGTGTTTCTTTTATATTTAAAGGTAATGAATTCCACATTTTAGGGCCTTTTATGTGCATTGAGTTTTTGCATAGCGTGAGATGGACACGAGGAACATCAAAGAGTGATCTGTGCCTTGTATTATGGCATGTGTTCTGTTGAGGTTGGCAAGGAGATGTTTGAGGGGAGGGTTAATATCAGAGTTAAGTGTTCTATATATGAAATAAGTGCAATAATAAGTATGGATGTTTTGTATGGTGAGTAGGTTGAGTGTTTTGAATATTGGTGGAGTGTGCTGCCTGTGTGAGAATTTGTTATCATTCTAACTGCAGCCTTTTGTTGGGTAATTAGTGGTCTGAGATGGTTAGTGTTGTTGAGCCCATGCACAAATTCCATAGGTGAGATAGGGGTAAATAAAAAAGTGAAAAAGGGGGCCAGGGGGGCTGACTGTGGAACATAGTACCGTATCTTCGATAGTATGCCTACAGTCTTGGAAATTTTCTTAGAAATTTGTTGTATATGTTTTATGAAATTTGAGTCTATTATCGAGGTGGTTTCCTAAGAATTTTCCCTCTGTTAGCTTTGTGATAGGTGATAAGTTTATCGTTATGTTAAGGGTACATCTGAAAGCTCTGCTACCAAACTGAATGAAGTAGGTTTTGTCAATGTTTAGTGTAAGTTTGTTAGTCCTCATCCAGGTAGTTTATTTCTGTAGTTCGGTGTTTACAGTTTTGGCTAGCGTGACTGGGCTCGGGTGAGAGAAGACGTAAGTGGTGTCATCTGCAAAAAGTGTGGGTTTGAGAAATTTGCGAAGCATTTGGTAGGTCATTTATGTATAGGAGAAAGAGAAGGGGGCCCAAAGGACATTTCCCCTGTGGGACACCAACTGTAATTGGTTGTGGGGAAAAAGCTTCCCCCATTAGCGTACACATATTGGCTTCTGTTGCTGAGGTAAGACTTGAGGTAGTTGGGGGAGTGCCCTTAATACCATAGTGTGAAAATTTTTAAAGTGGAGCAAGTCATGGCAACTGTATCAAAAGCTTTACCTAAGTCAATGAAGATCCCCAGTGGGACTTGTTTTTTCTCTATTGCAGTGTATATATGTTCTAGCATGTGTATAATAGCATAATTAGTATTTTTTTTAGGCCTGAATCCAAATTGGCAGGGGTTGAGAATGTTATGGGGGGATGAGGTAGGAGTAGATTCGTTTATGAATTAATTTTTCGGTTTATTTGAGAGAGGGTGTAAATTGGATATTGGCCTATAGTTATTCAACTCTGTTTGGTCTCCTCCTTTTTTGGATCGGGGTGACCCTTGCATTTTGGAACTGTAGGGAAGGTGGAGGATTCAATGGATTTGTTAAAGAGTGTTGAAATGATTATGATAGTACTTGTGACGCTTTTTTGTATATAAAGGGTTGGTAAGTATTTAAATCTCCTGCCTTGTTTTTCAGTGCGTTGATAATAAGGGAGACTTCGTATGGGTTAGTCGGAGCTAGGAACAGTGTGTTCGGGTAGTTGCCAGTGAGGTATTTCATTTGGTGGGGTATCTGAGCTTGGGATATTATTGGCAAGGTTTTGACCTATAGTGGAGAAGAAATCATTGAGTCTGTTTGCTGTTTCTGCTGGTGGGAGTTGGGGTTCATCTGATTTTGTTAATTTTATTTCGCTATGTCGTGATATCTTTTTTGTTCCCAGAATTTCTGATAGGGTCTTCCAGGTCTTTTTTATATCACCTCGTAAGTTGGATAAATTATTCTCATAATACAATTTTTTTGCCCTTCTTATCAGGCTGGTTAGGATTGACGAGAACGTTTTTTTTGGTCTCTGGTTACGTGACCCATTCTGTACTGTTTTTCATATCGGTGTTTTGTATTTATGGATTTGAGAATGCTGGATGTTAGCCAGGGACTGTTCAGTCTCTTAACTCTCATCTGTTTAGCTTTTTTAGGCATGCTTGTTTAAAGGTATTGGGTCTTTTTTAGAAAAATTTTTTAAAACGTTCGTCAATATCTGTATAGATTTCTAGCTCAGTGTGCCAGTCAATGTTTGTTACTGCGTTGTGAAGTTATTAATGGCTCCCTCATTGTGAAGTCTTGAAGGTGACTTTTAGTATGTCTTGGGTATTTACCAAGAGTTGTTATGAGGAAGTGGGGTGGGTGGTCTGTGGTATTATCTGAAATTAGCCTGATTTTAAAGGGATATGGTTTTGGTCCAATGTGGTCAAGTAGGGAAACACTAGTCTGTAACTCTTGTAGGTTTTGTTACTGTTGGTACAACATGCAGTTACTCATTGTGTTTGTGAATTCAGTAACGGGTGGGGTCCTGGTCTTGCAGGAGATTTATATTGAATTCACCTGGAGTAGTAAGTGATCTTTGTTCATGCGTGCATCAGTTATTCATACTTCCTAGGTTTTAAACTAAATTGGCTAATTTTTTGATTGTGGAATTCTGTGATGTTTATCACTGGAGAGGTTTTTGTAGGTATTTGGTTTTGAATTTGCTATTATATATTCCCCATGTTCACCCCTTGTGCAAGTATTAGTGATACATTCTAGTTGGTCTGAGTAGTATATAGTTTGTGCCACCCCTTGTTGGTCTGGGCCTACGTTTGTATGGCTGTGTAACCAGGAATGGCACAGACATCTGTAGTATCAGGCTTTAGCCAGGTTTCAGTAGTGTAATGATGGACATATTAGCATGCAAGGAATTTAGTAATGCTAGGAGGTCATCATAATGCTTGCTTAAAGATCTGATATTGTAGTTAAAAGATAGTTATGTTGTTGTTGGCTCTGAGAAGTGCCTTTAAATTGTTCGCTGTGTAGTAATTACAGTAACTGTTTGAATCATTTAATCATTAAATAAGGGGTTTGGAAACAGGATCAATGCTTGTAATCATAAGTTTTTGTAGTGAATCTTAGTTAAATTTAAATGTAAAAAATAAAGTAAATATTCTAAAGCTAAAAAATAGCACCTGTTTAAATTTAACAAATGTAAAAAATAATGAGCTAAGGTAGTTTTTAAAGCTAAAATAAGGGAGACAATATAAAAGGGACTAAAAATAATTTGTGGTGAACAAATAAAGTGAAAATCAAATAAAGGGAGCTTGGGAATATAAATTAGTTAGGTAGTACTTTAAAGGTAATTCTTTAAAGTTAGATTATAATATAAAATTATAATATAAAAGGGACTGTAAAAGTTGTGGTGAACAATAAAGTGGTAATCAAATAATGAGCTTTGGAGTATAATGGCAAAATAGTGAACTTATTAACTTTAGCACCTGAGAATAGCACCTTGATTAGTTTAACAATTGCAAATATATGATCTAAGGTAGTTATATAGAGCTAAAATAAAGGACAAAAAATATATAAGGGACTAAAATTTAAGTAATGGTAAACAAGTTAAATGGACAGATATCACTATGAAATAATATTGGTTTAGGAGTAAGATCTGATTTGTAATTTAAATAAGTTGAGCAAATTTATTACACAATAAAAAGTAAAAAAAATGAGGGATTGGTACTAGCTAGCAAAGATAGTTTTGGTACTTGCAAAAAAGTAATTGGAATATACACTAATTGCACACACAGTAAAAAGTGACTAAAAAAACAAGTAGTGGTAAAAAAATTAAATGGACGGGAAGAAAAAATGAATAATGGGAATGTCTTAGTTATAATATGATAGTAAGATGGTAGACAGGTACAAAGGATAATAAAGGTTGGAGTTGAAAAATGCAAACTTGAAAATTTGGTAACAAAATGTTATGGGAAGTATAAAATAATGTTTAATGTACAAAAGTAAAATTGACTTGTAGTACATATGGTGTTTAATAAAATTTTAGTAAGTAATAATGATTACAAAAAAGTGAAAAAGTAATGTTTATTTCATTCAATATTGCAACTGGTAGTTATACTTGAGGTTATATGGCAGTACAAAGGGAATTAAGAGTACTCTAAGATAGTAAATGTGGTATAAAAAAGGTAAAGGTAATTAGGCAAGTAATGGTTTTTAAATGTCAAAAATGTTAAGAGTAAATTGAAATTATAGTATAAATGATAATTATTAATTTTAGTAGGTAAAATCAATTGATAGATTTAAAAAAAAAATGAGGT